TGTCTATGCATAAGGAAGAGAATTTTTTGAACGCCTACATAGAATTATGTGAATGAGAGTGGGCCTGAAAAAAAGAAGAATGAAGAAACGCTGTGCCAACGATGAAAAAAACATACTGTTTCTCAAAAAAAAAAAAACAAAAATAAAGTAATTTCAAACATAAACTAACTTCAAAATACATTGCCTATGCAATGTATTTCCGCATACGTTACATGAAACTGCACGACTTTTTAGAACGATAAATTTGCCGCAGACAGAACATTTTTTAAGGTCCAATTCTTCCGCATGTGCGTTAAAATATGTTTGTAATTCAGCGATTCCGCGAGTATCCAGGCGTATCGTTGCTTTCGCTTCATCCTGAAATTTGTGAAAATCTGAAAATGAAATATTTCAAAAATCATAAACAAAAAAACAGTCGAAATTCTTATATTCTCTTTCTATGAAAGGAAGCACTCAAATTTGTGAAAGTCTGAAAATGAAATATTTCAAAAAATATGATCAAAAAAAAGTCAAAATTCTAATATTTTCTTACATTTTTTTTTCACGACAGCGGGAGGGGACTCTCGGAAAACAGCCTAATAACAGCAAATACCAATAGCGACTTATTACTTGCAAGATTGCCAGTGGTACCCTCTTTCGAGAGTTGCTTACAAGTTGCCTACAAGCGGGAATATGCCAGTACAAATTTATTGTTGAAGCAAATGAACGTGCCCCTAGAGAGATCAATTGTCCCCCGAACCCTCCGGAAGATCTTTAGGAAGGTTACTCCGAAAAAAAGAAAATAAAAAACAAACCATCGCTAGCCACCCGTTTGAAATGAACTTCTGTAGGGCAGCCTCCTCATTGACTTTTTTACCCTGAAAAATAGCCAGGTTATGAATTACAGCTGCTAAAGCACTGCCAACACAGCAAATACTTCGGCGGTGCACTGATTGCCAGTGCGGAGATGCGTTTTTTGCACAGTTCCCCGCAGGTTTTTGTCGCTAACAGCACTGTTTTCTCCGGCAGATGCTTCTAGTCAAAAGTTCAGCTTTCTAGCTTTTCTGGTTCCCGAGTTAGCAACCTATCCGCCAAAAATTTTCATGGACACGTACGTAGGAACTACGTGAGCGAGGGTGTTCATTTTGAAGAGAGGGGCCCGCACACGGATCTAGATTAATCCCCATAAATTTCAGCCTTGTAGCTTTTGTAGGTTTCGAGATGAAAAATCGCTACAGACGCAAATACGGGCACATACAGAGAAAACCCCTCGATAATATATGTTTTTGCATTGCATATATGCAAAAAGCGCATTAAAAAATACTAAGAATGAAAAGATTATAAT